CAGCTCTGCGTGCTGCCTCTGCCTGCAGGAACTGCCCCAGCAGCTCTCATTGGCCGCGGTTCCCAGCCAGTGGGAGCTGTGGAGCCAGTGCTTGGGGTGAAGACAGCCTGTAGAGGTGCCTGGCCACGCCTCTGCCTAGGAGCTGAGGGAGGGGGATGTTGCCACTTCCGGGGAGATGTGGAGCCAGGTAGGGAGCCTGCCAGACCTGTCAACTATCCCCATCCCGCCCCAGCACCAGCGGAGGTCCCGGGCTGTGCACTGCTGGCCCCGCTGCCCCCAAGCGCCTGTGGCACCCCCGGGCCACTCCCTAAGATTTAGTCAGGGGTATATAGTGCAAGTCATGGACAGGTCACGGGCTGTGAATTTTTGTTTACTGCCCGTGGCCTGTCCATGATGTTTACTAAAAATACCCGTGACTAAAACATAGCCTTAATCATAACCAATATTATACTATTCTATTTTTAATTATTGTTTCAATCAATTTGCGAAGTACAGATATAACAATTACTAGTCTGCAATTCCCCAGGCTGCTCTCAGACATTTTTCTTAAATAGGTACAACGTATTTGCCACCCTCCAATCCTCTAGGACTGTAGCTGTTTTTAGTGAGAGATTACATATTTTTGCTAGGTGGCCTAGTGATTTATTTTAGATCGTCAGTTTGTCCCAGCATCTTTTCTTCTGACACCTCTGTCTCGGATAATACCTCACCTTTATTGCCAGAAAAGAGCAGGTTTGAAGTAAATATCTCTAATATGCACTGCAGAGAAGACTGATGCAAAGAAATAATTTAGCTTCTCAGCAATATCCTCATACTGTTTGGCACTTCTAATACGCCTCTCACATTTCCATGATGTACTTTATGCTCATGTTTAATGATTTCACTAGGGTCAGACTTTCAAATGTGGAAGGATTTGGTTGGCTCAAATAGCCTCTCTAATGTACCATTTAGCCATAATGGTTTATCCCTTGGCTTCTTCATTTCTTTTTTGTTCATCAGTACACATGCCTTTTGAGACATATTGTTTTTGTAAGTAGCATCTATGTCACCTCTAAAGTTAAAAGTAAAGGAAGTAAAAAACAGTCTTTTTGATTAGCCTTCTCATTTTATTGAAGTCTCCCTTCTTAAAATGTAATGTCATTTTTTGATACCCTTTCTCCCCCTAGGATGCTGAAGCTACCTAATTATAATGTGGTCACTATCACTTAGTGGCTCAAGCTACTACTCCTTCTTGAATTAACTCATTTGTGTTACTTAGAATTAAATAGAGACTAGTGTCTTTAAGAACTATCTATTCCAAGAAGCAGTCAATCATTTCAAATGTCAAGAATCGTTTCTCAAAATTTTGTCCTGCTGTGCTATTTTACTGCTTATATGTGGATGTTTGAAGTCCATCATCATTAGTCTGCTAATTTTATCAAAGAGACAGCAAAATCTATGCATATGTCAAATCAGCATAATATTTCAGAAAGCCATGAGAAATAAAGGAAATGCATTATTGCATATTCCCCATTGTACTTTTCCTTCAAGGTTTCAGCAGAGATACCATAAGTCTTTTACCGTAACTTCTACAGAAGAAAAAACAAGCATAGCACAGACATCCAGATAGCAAAGATTGGGCACGACATGCTCCTCACCTCAACAAGTTTCTGGGTGCCAGCAGTAGCGATGCTCTGCGATAATCCTGATTGAGTCAAGACATCCAGCAGAAACCACTGAGATTCTAAGCCCCATGTTATACAGAGGTCAGACAAAATGATCTAATGGCCTCTTTTGGCCTTAAAATCTATGAATGCAATATCCAGTGTCACAAAAGATCAAGAACAGGAATTCTATCCACAGATTTCCAGCTCACGTACCTGTGACATCCCATTTGTGACAGCAGGTCTCAACACAGATTTGTTTTGCCGGTTAATACATGGACAGTTAGCTTTAATCCCCCATTTGCCTCTGGCTGCATGTACCATGTCTCCTATATTGTAAAGAGCTAGGAAGAAAGTTACAAGTTTTAGTACATATGTCCATAAAAACTATAAAGTGAGGCCTTGACTGAACTTCAGGACCAGTTTTTCCCCCTAGTCACAACAAGAATCCTACATTTTAAGGCTTCATGATCAAGATACACGTGTTAATCTGATAGTGCTGCATAACTATGTGCACATAGGACTGCCTTTCAAAATCCAGTCAGAGACATCATTATAAAACTGAATACTTATATTTTCCTTCAGAGGACAAGAGCACTAGTACCGTCCTCACAAATTAAATTGCATTTGGTTCATATCTTTTGAAAAGACTTCTGAAAATTAAAACAAGAGTCATGTGCTTCGTATCTGCAAATCTTAGGAGCAGCATATTGGAAATGTTTTATCACCTTGTATTAGCAACTCATTCTTATCTGCACTATTTTTATCTTTTTCTCCCTACCTTCCTCCAAGAGAATGTCTTCCCCCCGCCCCCAATATTACTGCCTCCCTGATCCCTCCCAAATAAGGAGACAACTAGAAAACAAAACTATCACACCGCCTCCTCTCCTGCCTCCCAAAATAGGGAAGAAGATAACTGGAAACCAGAAGGAAGCTGTTCATGTATTACCTGTTCCAGGGATGATCTGTGTTGGCATAAGATTCTCTGGTTCATGGGACTGCCCCTTTGCACACTTCAACCATGAGAAAACCTCCTCATCACCAATCTCCTCTGTCTCTGAAACGGACAGAACCAGATCATTTACTACCCTACAAAAGTCACTGAAGCTTTACAGTGCAGCAAGCTGTTTCTGTATGTATTTCTTCACTGCAACAGTTAGCTCAAGTTAGGCCTGATTTATACTTAAAATTTAGATAGACATAACTACATTGCTCAGGGGGTGCATTTGGCATAGTTATGCTAACCTAACCTATGGTGTAGGCGCACCTAGGTTGACAAAAGAATGCTTCCATCAACTTAGCTACCACAGGGATAGAAAAACTCCTTCCATAACTGTAGAAAGCATCTGCTACAGCACTACAAGAGCATTGCCACAGCGCTGTAGCTGTGCTGCTGTAACACAAGACTTGAATATACTTGTTACTCCACTCCAGCTAGCCTAGCTTGCATATCCTGATTGAACAACCACACTACAAAAACACTCAAGTTGCAGAGAGATTTGATTAGCAGCTGATGAACTGTTGTAACTCAAACTGCTGAATCCCCACAGCATTACTAGCTGTAATTTGCTTCCTCTGCACTACAGGAACCAGCTGGTTTGAGTTCAAAGCACTATTTAAGCTAGGTATTTCTGCATGTGAACAGCAGTCTGGTTAGTGGCAAAGCTAAGTTATCCCTTGAGATAACAATGCAGTGAAGACAAACTATGTGACTATTTGTTGCTTCAGTTTAATCTCAGGGCTGCAAAGAACAATGGATTAACCACCTCCCAGTTTTGGCGAGCACAAAGTTTTGTGAAATGGTAACCCAGGGATATGCAGTAAAAGTCAATCAGTACAGAACCCACATCAACTTCCTGGCTCCCACTTTGCCCACTCCAATTCATACAAAAACAAAGCTGCTAAATCATGTTGCTCTGAGCACAGCACCCCCCTTTAGATAGGTTCCAGCTTCTTATTCTAATCTTTAAAGCTCTTCATATTCTATCCCTTGCTGCTTAATTTGTCACACTCCCATTCCTCCAGTCAAAGACTGCCAGCCTTGCCCATCCATTTGTCTACTTCTTCCCTGCTGTGCCTTACACATAGAATACCTTCTTTGAACTAATTTACAAAGCAGCTACCCTTCCATCTTCAAATCTCTCAGAATCTACTTCTGCCATGATACCTACCAGATGCCAGCCAACTAACGATGACTGGGTTGAAAGGCAGTCTGAGAGACAAGAAGTTAATTTTAAAAACCTCATTTTGAACCATCAAGTTGTGCCTACCATATCAGCCTATTCAACAGTAGGAATTTATAGTTACCCCACTCCTCTATCTCCCATTTCATACTCCACTCATGGCATCGTATCTTAAAGTTAATTGCAAGATCTTTTGGACAGGGATAACATGTCTAGTCTGTTTGTATAGACTAGACATGTATAGACTTTTGACATGGCACCAAACATTCTCTCAGTCACATGTTCAGGATCTAATTGTTTGCCATATGTGGGGTCATGAAGGCATTTTCCCCTTGGTAATGATTGGTAGTGACCTTGGGAGGTTTTCACCTTCCTCTGCAGCATGTGGGTCACTTGACAGGATTATCCGAGTATAACTCAATTAATTTCCTGACTCTGCAGGGGCCTCAGGCACTGTGCAGCTTGGATCCTCCTATTCTCTGCTTTTGGCACATAATAGTTTAGTCTCCTGTAGGCGAAGTTATTTTGGTTGTTAAGTTTAGTGTGCAGGTCCTGGGTGGGGTTGGTGGCCTGTGATATACAAAGGTCAAATTAGATGATCCGTGCTGTTACGACTGCCGGCAGAGGCACTTTCGCCAGCTCATAGCAGTAGCGGATGCAGGCAGTGATCCAGGATGAATGAACAGCTGTGTTGACTTGCGAAACAGCTTTGTCCTGTCAATGTAGATGGCCAGCGCCCTCCTGACGTCCAGGGCACGTAACCTGCGTTCCTATTCTGATTTATGAGGCTTCGGGAAGAAGACAGGCAAGTATATGTCCTGGCCAGTATGAAACTTGGAAATTACCTTGGGCAGGAATGCTGGGTGCAGCTGCAACTGCACCTTATCCTTGTAGAATACCATACGGGTGGATCTGAAGTAAGCGCCCTGATCTCAGACACCCTGTGTGCAGACGTTATCGCAACCAGGAACAAAACCTTCCAGGAGAGAAGAAGAGGAGAACAGGAAGCCAGAGGCTCAAAGGGGGGCCCCCATGAGCTGCGACAGCACGAGATTCAAGTCCCCCTAGCACTCTGTGGTCCGAGGTGACCCACAACCAGATTGAATGGTAGGGACGAAGACGCTGAGGAAAGAACAAGGCGGATCTGAGGAGCTGACTGGAACGCACCTTGAGCGCACCTTCAAAATGAGCGCTTCTGGCCCCAAGATGCTTTGCCGGGTTGGGGTGCACGGGGGAGTGGGAGGAGGAAGGGTGGCGATGACTAAAGCTCGTGTCTCTATCCCTTCTCCTTGCAGGCCCCTGTCCAGGCTGCCACGGCCTTGGCAGCGGCTGGAACTGCTTCCTCACTGGCGTATGCAGTGGCGTGTGCAGACCCAGGGAGCGAAGGGTGGCCAGAGTGTCCTTTAGGCCGTGCAGCCTTGCATCACTCTGCTCCACAAAGAGACCATTCTCATCAAATGGAAGATCTTGAATTGAGGCCGGCATTTCCTGCGACAGGCCAGCAGTCTGAAGCCAGGAGCTGCACCTCATGACCACTGCCGATGCAACCACCCTAGCCAGCAAGTCGGACACGTCCCACACCATTTGGAGGGAGCATTTTGCTGCTGCAGTACCCTCCTCCACTAGGGTACCAAACTCCTGGGCCAAGTCCTGGGGTAGGGACTCCTTGAAGTTATGGGAGTCCCAAGTTGCATCTGCCCAAAAGAGCCTTGTGGTTCGCCAACCAGAACTGAAGGCTGGCAGTGGAATAAATCTTCCTCCCAAAAAGGTCCAGTCTCTTGGCCTCTTTATTTTTGGGGGTCGAACTAGGGTGCCCATTTGTCCTTCTCTTTGGCCGCAGAGAGGACCAGTGAGCCTGGAGTTTACAAGTACTCGAACCCTTTGGCTGGGAGGTGGGAGGCATGGACGATGGGGTTTGCCAGAGGGCCTTTAAGACCCCCATCATGCATCATGGGCAGGAGTAGATGCCGAGAGCGCCTGTTCAGCCATCTCCTCCACCTCCAGGCCCATCACTTCTCAGCCACCCATCGCAGCAGGGCCTGGTGCTCTTTGAGGCTGGTACTAGAGGGCCCCACCACCACCTCGCCCGGGGATGAGGATGAGGACTTGACCACTGGGCACGGCCCCGGGGCACCATCCTCCACGGGGCAGTGGGTTTTGGGGTGGGCACTCGCTCATCTACCCTGACCTCCAAGTACACTTCGTGCATCAAGCCCCACGTTGCCGGTGCCATCAGCTGTTGCTCTGGTGCGGCAGCCAACGAATGGTGCAAAGGGGGCATCGGCATCACTTCCTCTCCACCCCCTCAGCTGTAAGGGGAATGAGGCTGGAGTCTGCCACAAAGTATTTGTAGTGGCTTGAATCATTTTAATGAGTGGCAATGCCACCCTGGATGGCTCTTCAGGGGTTAATGTGTCCACCATGGGGACCTCAGACTCGACCACCTCCTCAGCCTGTAGCCCCATGTTATGGTCAACCCTGCGCAACAGTTCCTGGTATGCTCTATTATCAACGGGAGGGGTGGCCCAGTGGACGAAGACTCCGCCACCGCCTGATCCGGCGAGGACAACGACAAAGTCCTAGGCAGTACCAGGCCCTCCTGTCCCTCTGGACACGTTCTGCTTGGTACCGTGCTGTTCAGCGCTGACAGTGATCTTGGTGGCAGTGGTGGAGCCAGGACCCGGACGGGGCTCTGCACCGTGGAAAGAAGCTGTCTCAGTGCCTTGAGGCGGCGGATGGTGCCAAGGTGGTAAAGGGGTGCGTCCTTCTGAAATTACAGTCCCTGGAGTAAAGTGCCCTGGGCCTGGTGGTATGACCATAGGGTCCAGAAAAGCCATTGCGTAGGCCCCTGCCATGGCACCATCCCCACCTCCTGCCTGTAGCGGAGCCGCTCTGATCAGTGACGACTGCGCCTAGAATAGTAGGAATCCGCCTCTGAATCCAAAGATGAGGAACCTGAGCATGTAGACCACGGGGGTGCCAAGCGGAGAAGGTGAGTGGTGCCTCATCATTGCAGGCTTGCCTTTAGATGGCGCCGGGTCTGTCTTGGCTGGTGGGGGACTGCGAAGCCATCATGGCAATCAAGCCCCTGGCCGCCTCAAATGTGTCCAGGGTGGAAGGGAGCACACTCTAGCAGGAGAATCCAACAGCATTCGACTCGCCAGACCCCTTTGCAGGCCCGAAGTCAATAGTGCTGACTCCTGTGAGACCGGCGGCAGATGCCCCTGCACGGGACGCACACCAGTGGCACTGTTAGACCCAGCTGCTCTCACCGTGGGCGAGCGCCCTCTATCCGTCTTCTTGTGCCACTTATGCAGCACCGGTGAGCAAGAGTGGTGCTGTGTTGCCTCCGCGGGCTTCGGGGCTGGAGAGTTATGGTGCTGAGGGTCTCTATGCCTAGAGTCCTTCCTTGGTGCCGTTTCTCTAACGGATGCTGGAGTGCTCCACACAGAGGTGCTCGGTGCAGAGTCCTGCTGGCCCGGGGCAGCTGAGGATGGAGGGCTGCCTCCATAAGGAGTTGTTTGAGCCTGAAGTACCTTTCCTTCTTTGTTCTCGGGCGGAACCCTTTGGAGATCTTGCAGTGATCTGGTCTGATGTGCCTCCCCCAGACACTTAGGGCAGCAGTCATGGCATGGCTGTGGCAGGTACCGCACAGCTTAAACCCTTGGGATTGAGGCATGCCCCCCACTTCTATTTAACTAACTACTAAGACTAACACTAACCAATGAACTATTTACAGGATAATCAAAAGTCCGATCACTAGGGAAAATACTTGCCAAGGCAAGAGAGACATGCAGTTCTTACAACTGTCAATGGCAGTAAGAAGGAACTGAAGAGGCGGTGGGTCAGCAAGGACCTATATACACCACCATAAAGGCTCGATTCCAGGGGTCTCCACACCCAACCCGACAGGTATCACTAGGGGAAAAACCTTTCAACGACTGTGCACGCAGTGCATGCACACCTACTTGGAATCAACATGAACAAGCACTCGAAGAACAGGGAAGATAGGATGGCAGCAGGGGAGTACAGGGCAGAACAGAACAGAAAAGAAAAAACCTCCACTCTGCCAAACCCCTCCGACCTCTCACACCAGTACTCCCTAACTCACCCTTAAAAACCCCAGCTAGTTCTCAGGAGTTTTTTAACCTGGAAACTAGCCAGTTAAAAGGGGTATGGACAAATCTGGTACTCACCGCTACGTGGACGGTTCTTCCTCAGCCGATAACAGTCCAGACAGACTCCAAAACCACATTTGCGACAAACCCAATGAATATTGAAGAGGGTTGTCTCACATACATCGCACATCTCCCTCACACCACGGACAGCTCGCTTCCAGGCTACTTTCTCTACAAAGAAAAGAAGGAACATTGCAGGAATGAATGCTAGGATAATGGATTGTACAGCCCAGTGCGTAGCCCCACATGCTATCTTCAAGCACAGGACAGTCTTCACTAGAGTAGGTCTCAATGAAAAAGCTATTTGGGAGTACTGAAGGAGATCTGTGGGCAGCAAAAGCTTCAAATACAGTGCTTTAATTCCATTTCTCCCAAGTAAATTTGGAAATATTTTAGAAGCGCCACAGATAGAACCATTCATTGAGACAAGACTTCCTGAGAGGGGAGTTTGGGAGAGAACAGTGACATCAGACAGACATCTGCAGTAGTGATCATGTGACACTTATTTCTACCATCGGAAAAGGGGGAAAAACTAAGCCTCTAAGAGCTGTAAGAAGCACAGGCGTATTTTGTGCGATTCAGAGAGTTTCAGCAAAAGATATAAGAGAACTTACAGAAACTACTGTGAAACTAGAAAACCTCATATTAATTACTATCTGTAAATAAAGTTTAAAGCCCTCTATAGATGACAAGCATAGGATTTTAGTAATTTAGTAATCTTAGACCTAGCAGCTTCCTGGGTTTTCAGATGCTGACAGATCTGTAGGAAAAATTCCCTCCAACTGGCTCCTTTTCCTCCTTTCCCCTATGGCCAGCCTCTGCATACCCATGTAATGGGTTAAACCCCCTATATCACCACAGGAATGGGGCTTCTTCTTGCGCTGGCAGAGCTAGATCACAGAATCATAGGATCTAGCATAGCTCAGTCTGTCAGCCAAGCCAGGCCCTGCTAGGTGGGGGAAGTGGCATGTCCCTTCCCCTGAAGATCCTGGTGCTCTTCTGGAATGGGGGCTGCACAACGGGGCCACCCCCTAAAGATAGCAAGATGGGAGGATACAGACCTTCACTTGGGGGGTGGGAGAGGGGAGGAGAGCCACGAGACAGCAACACATTTGTTTCAGGTTTCAGTAGGTGGTTTGTTTGTTTGTTTTTTGGGGTAGGGGTGGGGGGAAGGAGGGAACGGCACTGGCCAAGGGTGGGTGGGGTGAGGGTGTTCCAGGAACCTTATCCACTGACTGGGACCTCACTGGTTAGGCAACAATTTCTCTCATGGGACAAGAGGCAGCAGTATTTTCACTCCCTTCACTGTCGCTAGTGAAAGCGGAAGCAAGAAGATCCAGAGAAGTGTGGGAGTTGATCTGAGAGAGTCAGCTAGGTATCAACAAAATGAGTACTTCACCAGTACTTCAGTCTTTTGTTTAGGTGGCTGGAAGTCAAGAGTTCTACCTGCTGCACATGTTGAAGGATAAAGTTGTCTATCAGCATGTGTAGCAGCTCCGATTTGCTGCCCTTCCCTTTCAGGTAGGGGAAAGGCAGCCAATTGGTGGAGATTTCTCCACAGACTAGGTGTGTCTATGAGGAAAAGCCATAGAATTAGCATGTCTGGGGGTGTGCGTGCATACGGAACCAGTGGATGGGTGACTAAAGAATGAACTGTATCTGGGGAGTACATACAATAGGCATATGAGGCGGGCATGGGTGTAAAACTGCTAATATGTATCAAAATTGATGAGCATTTATCTGAATTCATGTAAATATAAACTAAAACCTGTAGGATTACAGTTTGTAAATGTTGGTAGGTGTGTCAAATAACTTTGTTCCAATTTTGAAAAAAAGGCATACTATTTAAATCTAGGTAACATTTACAACATCCATGCTAAAAATTATGTATAAAAAGTTACAAAGTGAGAGAAAACCCACTGGTTCTAACTCTTAAACAGAGAATATATTTAATTACAAAAATACTGTTTCCCTTTTTCACAAACTCAATTTCTTGAAATTTTTTCTTTAACAGGAAGGCTCTCTGTTTATAGTTTCTGCCAAAAGGTAAAGCTGATTTTGTAAGTGTGAAGAAAATTTTGAACCATTTGAGTTAAGGAAAGTTACACGTTCTTTCTTAGGTTTCAGAGTGGTAGCCATGTTAGTCTATATCAGCAAAAAGAAGAAGTAGTACTTGTGGCACACATTGTGACTAACAAATTTATCTGGGCATAAACTTTTGTGGGCTAAAACCCACTTCATCGGATGCATGCAGTGGAAAATAAATATATATATAAGGTTTTTTTTCCTCCTGCTGATAACAGCCCACCTTAATTGATTAGTCTCGTTATAGCTGGTATGGCAACACCTGTTTTTTCATGTTGTGTGTGTGTGTGTGTGTACACAGAGAACATGAAAAAACAGGTGTTGCCATACCAGCTATAACGAG